GTCAAGGGGGGAGGGGTTTCCAGTAGTAGGTCGTGTCTAAAGGGTTTGTTATTGTCTGTCACTGAGCCTCTTCCAGTACAGTTTCCCAAGCGCAGGGCCCGTCTAATGGGCATGGAGAGACTGGTTGTGGCGAAGCCCTTTCCCATTGACACCCAACCCCCAGCGCGCCCCTTTGGGGTTTGGACCGCTGCAGTTTAGTAGTTTTTTTTTGGGCGGCAAAGGGAGGGCTAGAGGAGAGTAAGTTATAAAGAGGAGTTTGGGGTTTTGTAGAGGTTTAGTTTGGTTTGGTTGAGAGGCATTTTTCCGTTTGGTAAGGCCCGAAAGGGCCCTTTAAATAGTATTGCAGGCCTTGAGTGAATGTTTTCCGTGTAAACGAAAAAGGGTAGTAAAGTTTAAAACGAAAGGACGGGTGAAGTTTTGTTGATGGGGAAGTAAGTGCGGGTGTCAGTTTGTTCGGGATTTTCGAAGGAAATTGGGGGATCACGTTTCCTGTAGTTAAAATACGAAATTGTGGTTTTTGCTGCTTGGTTTTGACCCTCCATTTTTTTTCCCCAGTGGCTATCCTGTAAAAACCTCTTTTTTTGTTTTTTGTGTGTGAGTTTTATTTTATTGGATGGTGATAAGTTGTGTAAGGTCGTCTGCATAGGTTAGTGTGATGGAGTTGGGGGTAAAAGGGGTTTTGGGGAATGTCGTTATTGAAATAAAATTTTAGAGGGTAGGGGAAAGGACAGATTCCCCGGGTACTCCAGCATTTAGTGTAAGTATCAAAAGTAACAGCCCTTGGGAAATTTTATTTCATGGGACGGCCGTTTTAGGGAAATTGCAGAAAAAAATTTACAAGTATTGAGAGGAGGGTTTTAAGTTTTGTGCAGAGTTTGTACTTGAGCCCCCCGGCCACACAGTGTCAAAAACTTTTTTTAACGTCTTTTGCAACCAGGGGTGTCCCCGTTTCTTTGTTTTTTGTTTAAAGTGGATGTGTTGAGAAGATGGGTTTAAAGGCATCCCGTGTGGTCTGTTTTGTTCTGAAGCCAAATGGCCCTCTGAAAAATAGAGAATTATGTTCCAGGTATCTGCCCCCAAAGGGATGGGTTAATTTAGTTTTTCCCAAAGGAAATTTTCCTAAAGTTTCGAGGGGGGGCTGATAGGGGGTAGTTTTTTAGGGTCAGAGGGGGTTTTATTGGGTTTAGGAAGGGAGGTAGCAGTAGCAGCTTTGAAGAGGGAAGGGAAGTATCCCGAGGCAAGGGAGGCATTGGGAGGTTTTTGTAGGCAAATAATGATAGAGTCAGGAAGGTGTTCAGGGGTAATTGGTTTTTGGCCCGAGGCACCAGGAGCCTTTTGGGGGAAGGTGTTGAGGAGAGTTTTTTAAAGGGCTGTGTTGGGTGAAAGGGGGGTGTCGAGGGTTTTTGGGAGGGGGGTAAGAGTGTCTAGATGTATGTGGGTGTCTGGTGTTGTTTCCCTTTTGTTTTGGGGCTGTGTTCCAGTGTTCTTTGTTCTGAAAAGGGGTTGAATAACGTTAGGGCGAGGTGGGGAGATGAAATGCAGGATGGAGTTATATAGCGCCAAGAGGGGACGTAGGCCACTAGGAGAGGGAAGAACCCCAGATGTTCAAAAGGGGCAGGTCCCCCTTTAAATCCAGGGCCCCCTCATAGTGGAAGTTGTCGAAGTTTTTGCAGGTCTGTCCAAGATACCTTTTTGTTGCCCGTGTCTGAAAGGTTTTAACATTAAAATGGTTTTAAAATTTCCGGGGAGGTTGTTGGTTTAAAACACTATGAACGTTAGGTTCTTTAAATTTTGAAAACGTTCGCCTAAAAGTGGCTTCTTGCGAGTACAGAAAAATTGATAGAAGCAAGGGAAAATACTTTTAAGAAGTGTAAACAGCCCTCACCCTTAAAGTTTTTAATGTTTGCAGTGGGGGGAGCTGTTAGGTCTTTGAAACTAGGGGAATTTGTTAGTGGTATGGGTTTTTTGGGGGGAAAACTGTGAAATCGCAGTGTAGTAAAAATGAATTCCCAGGTTTCACCCTGTGTCTAAATTTTTCAACATGTCGGTTTTTCGAACCCTTTTATCTACAAAAAATGAATACTAGGAGAACTAGTAATAGGGAAAAAAGAGGGGGATATTGGAAAGCCAGGGGGACTAATTGGGGAAGGACAGTAAAAAGGTTTAAATGGGGAAAAAACAGAAAGGAGCAGGAAGGGTAAAGAGAGAGGAGGGTTTTAAATATTTTTTTACACAAATAGTCGCCATGTAGAATAAGGGTGGACGAGTTGAGGGCTAGTTGCTAGTGCAGGTAACATTGATGATCTGCCATAACCGAGCGTGGTTTTTAATTTAAAAAGTCGGGACATGCCCGCAAAAATGTCACATTCCCCGGTTTTTAAATTTTTCCCAAATAGATAGAAGTGGGGAAAAGGGGGGGGGTGGGCATTGTATGTCCCAGATCGATTGAACTGTTGCATAAAAAAAAGGGTAATTTAAATTGAAGAAAAAAACAAAACAGAGTCTGTTTGGTTTGAAAATTTTAGAGGGGGATGAAAAAAATTTAATTTTTTTTTTGGGGTGAAATTACCATCCCCAAATTTAGATAGGGACCAGGGGGGATACTATGGGGGGGAAATTGTTAGGGCCACAAGGGACGATTAAAGTAGAATTCTAGGAGACTTTTAAATTTAGTCCTTTTGTTGGAATTTCCCCTTTACTGGGAAATTTTGAATCATAAAGACTTCTTTTGAAGTAGTTTTAGGATTGTTTTTTGAAGCAGTTTTTGAAGAACCCACAAGGGGGAATTTAAACCCGTTTTGCCCTTAAATTCTGGGTAAACAATGGAATCCCTTGTTAATAATTTAGAAGTTTTTAGAGGAACTGGGTTTTGGGAAGCGACCCCCAAATCAATTTCATTTAGCAAATTTAAAAGGAAAATAAGATAAGTAGGGGGTAAAAATCAGTAAAAAAAGTCCCAGATTTGGCTTTGCAGATTTCGATGGGCTTAGAGAACACTTATATCTGGTTGGGCTGAGGGACTGATTACCTCATACTCCTTTCCCCTCCCTTCGCCCTTTCCCCTTTGTATTGGACCCGGGTTTAACCACTGTTTTGGCGAAAAAGTTTTTTGAATTTAGATTTGTAGTGAATGGTTTTAATAAAATTGGTAGAATTTTCCCACAATATGTAAAGGGAAAAAAGGAAAAAGTTTCAACTAATGTGACTTTATTGTGGCAAAAGTTTCGCTCTCCCGGAGCTTTATCAAGCATTACAAACAATACATGGACACAGGGGTATATAAAGGCTAGAGTGAGGTGAAAATGTGAAAGGGACCATTTTTGATGTTCCCTAGTGGTAGTAGTAGTAGTAGTAGTGGTGGTAGGCCCCAAAAATACCAAAATGGTTTGAGCGTTTTAAATTGTACATGAGTAAAAAAATATAAAGTATTTCTTGGGTAACATTAAAAAAAAGGTTGGACAAAAATAAATCGAAAGGCAGGGTTGTTTCCGTGTTCACTCTCT